CCACATCGACACCTTTCAGCTATTGCCGGTTTTTTTGTCACCTCATTATTTTCCAAAATAATAAAAAAATAACCAATCTTTCTGTAGTTTTCGAGAAGGCTCACGAGTAGGTCAAAAGATAAGTTATCGCTCAAGTTTTTGCTGATCTGTTCTTTCATTGAAAGAGGTATTAATTTCAATGTAGAGTAATAACTTTTCGTTTCAATAGCAAAAACTCAAATTACAGATGCTTCTGTTACTTTACGGCCGCCATGTTTTAGCCCATCGGAATGGGCACTAGCATGGTGTCTCCATACAAAGTTTGATAAATTTGGATGAAAACCAGCAATTCACAAATTTTGGCATCATAAAATCTGCAAGTTTGACTTTGTTCTCAACCCCAGACAGACAAAGTAGTAGATTAAAACATTTCAATGTGACTTTAAGTGGACTTATTATGAGAATAGTATACAGCAAACANTGGAGTTCATTGAATACCACGTGAGCTGGCAATGTTCACGAGTAGCTAAGGAATTCCTCGAAACATGTTCCTCTACCTATACTCCAGTTTCTAATAAACATTTACATTTACATGTTAAAACGGTGTAACAGCGACTTTGGAGATTAATTAGCACAGTAACTTGAGTTCATTTAAGTGACCTTGTAGAATGGGTCATGGTTCCTCAAACCAGGTTGCCTGAATCTTGTTTGCTGCTGCAGTATAGTGATAGTGTAAAACTATTTAGGTAGTGTGCATTTACTTTGTATAAGAAAGGATGAAGCCTCTTGCTTTCTCTGAGAGTGCTGCTATTGTTTGTATTTGTCAAGTTAAATGTATCGTGTACACTGTTTTATAAGGCAGGTGCAATGTAAACCAGGAATTTTTATGGAGTCATTATTTGACTGTTGACGTTTAAAATGGTTAAGTCTGCATACGAGCCAAGTGGCCCATCACGCCAGAGACGAGTTTATCCCAGTTCCTGCAGCATGAAGTGACTGGCAGTATTTCTACTCCCCCCTGGATGGGATGCAGGGTTACCCCCCAGCATTTGATTCCCCAGTACCCACTTGTATGCGTGGGTGGAGAGAGGCACTATGAGAGTAGTGTCTTGCCCAAGGACACAACACAATGACCCCGGCCAGGGCTCACACCCGGATCGCTTAATCCAGAGTGAAGCACACTAACCATAAGGCCATTGTATAGTACAAATCAAAGCTTCATCTTTAGCTCACACCCGTCAAAGGTCTGACAGTTTTGGGTAACATATTGAGGTGGTGGAGCAAGGGCGGGGGAGGGGGGAGAGGTGGTGGTTACTCTCCCAAATTGTTGGTGTGCAGTGGATTTCTTTCCCTATTTCAGACTTGACCCCACTTTTGACACCCTACATAAAACAGGACACTGTTTTAGTTTGGATCCAGTGAACATTGACTAACAACAATAGTTTATATTACAAATTCCAAAAGTGCATTTGCCTGTAAACAATGAATTTTATGCCACAGAAATGTTGTCTGCTATACGTTTACCACTCCACTCATCTGCTTAAGCTGCCAATGACAACTAATGGGAGGGAAAGGTTGAATGGCAGGGGAGATAAAGAAAGGCAAGTTCACGGAGGGGGGTGGGGTCTGTGCTGTGGTAGATGCCAGTTTGTACACACTGTACCATTCTCAGGGCAGACATACATGTACAATGCTGTTGCAACGGCAGGAAATCAAAACAGTTGAAACTAAGTAAAAAGAGGAAGAGCTCAGAGGTAAACAGTTTGCTTGCCTCCCATTCGACTGCTGTTTTAAGGATGTATGTTGACAGTGTAAGAACTCAAATAAAAGATGCCTAAAATAGCAAAATGTGCTATGTAGTGTTTTCATAGAAGAACCAAACTTAAACAGAATGGTTTAGTTACAGAACTGTGCTCTTCAAACAATGCCTTTGTTTACATGACAGCTGGATTAGTGAGCAAATAAACTAAAGTTCTTTTTTGTTGTTTACATCCTAAAAAGTAAAATAAAAAAGTTCCATCCATGACTTAATCAAGTGACAAAAAACTCTTGCATTCACCAAAAGTGAACAAAGTGCTGTGTTCACAATCTACATGAATTTACATGAAAATTTCAACCCTGTTCACAGCTTGTGCAGGGACGATGTCATACGAAGATTAACTTATGTCATCTGATCTTGGCTGGAATCATGCACACACTAAAGGGGCAAATGAGCACACAGAGCACAAGATGAACATATCCTAAGAAGCAAGAGAACTTGTCTCTTGAAACACAGGATTTCATAATCACCCACTAAACTATACAGTTGAATATCACTAGAGAAACCAAAGGGACAAACCAAAGGGAGTGTCTGTGTGATAGGGGTAGAACATCATTTGATCAACCTGATGTTGAGTGAATGTTTTGTCATGGTTGGCTGTACAATATTTTTGTAAATGTTCCTCCTGATCATTGGTCAGTACCAGTAATGAAATTTGTACAGTTGATACATGTTACAAACAGTAATAAAAACAAACTAGCCAGAGTCATAAGCAGTTGTGGGTCAAAAGTCTAATATCTTCTTGTATCCCTTCGTCTTCCTGATCTAAAGGACAAAGCAAAAAATATGTTGGAAATATGGCAACAATTTCAAAATCAATAATTATGAACTGAGCTCTATATTATCAGTTACCCGGCAGCTTTCCGTGGTCCTCTCACAAATGCCCAGTCAACAGAAATTTTTTGTTCGAGAAGGTCTGATCCATTCAGTGCTTCCATTGCCGCCTCTGCTTCCTTGAATGTTTCATATTCCACAAGTGCATAACCCTACAATTAAATGAATGATCACATCTTTGAGTAATACTAATTTCTTTTCATGCAAACAAAAGAAATTTCCATATTTCCAAGGCCCACTTTGAACTTGATATTTCTTTCAGAAAGCCCACATGGAAAACATAGTACATGTAGATTACAATAACCATTTCCCCTCCTTCATACCCCATATCATGAGACACAATTCATGTCTCAGAAGAAACAAGATATGAGATGGTAACTTACTTTCAAGTGGTACTGTAGTATGGTCAAATAATGCAATTGCTTTAACATTTCTTTGAAACCTCATGATGCTAAGAAAGATGTGTCCAATAGCCCAAAGCTAATGGATTTTCAGTCAGGCCAGTGAATTCTGTCCTTCACTTGCACAACAGGTAAGTGAAGTTTTTTTGGGAACTTTTTTAAAGAAATTCAAATTACAGAAACACTGTAAGAGATGAATTTGAATTGACACACTAAAGGTATTTTCATCCTAACAGCTACCCAAAATCAAAGCACCAACAAGCTTCAGTTACCAAGTACAAGTTTGTGCCAACAGAGGTGACTCAATCATTTTTGCATGGGCTGCACCAGAAGTTTGTTTTTCATTTTACCTTCAAGAATCCTGTTCGTCTGTCCAAATTAGCATGGAGGTTTTTTATTTCACCATACTCAGAAAACAAGTCATGGATATCATCTTCCTGGGCTTCCTCGTGCACATTGGTCACAAACAGAATCCAGCCTTCAACAGCTGAAATAACAATTATACCATTCCCTTAATTACGTCTTCTTAGAGAATTAATTATGTCTTCTTAATCCTTCTTAGAGAATCCAAATCCTAGTGAGAGTGATCCTAGATACATGTCCAGTTTGTAAGCCCATGGTGTGGGTTGTGATGATTTCCAGTCTGTACTGCACAGTCTCAGAGCCCCAATATTTGTGAGTCTCACCCGATAGAATATCCAACATGAAACGCTTACCTTATCTTTGAGGCATTTTATATTCTTTATCCAACTGTTTCTTTGATTTTTACAGCTGCAGCTGCACGGAGTTGTTTCACCAAGTGATTTCAGAAAGAACGAAGCATAAAGCTTCGCATCCATGATGGCCGTTGACATGAAACTTTGAATTTACAGTGCGTCATGTAACTAGTTGCAAAATACTACATTTTGTGACATCTTGTGTGAATCAAAACAAAAAACATAACCAAACTCTTGACAGTGCGCAGTACTTACTGTAAGTCATCTTTAAGCTCCATCTGCTAATGTTGTACCATGTTTTGTACCCATTGACACTAATATTATACATAGATGTACCTGTTTTCAATTTGCTACAATTAGGTATTTTCCTTCAAAATCATCATTACTACCGAAACAGGTAGAGTGTTTTTTCGGAGACGCATGTAAAAAGGTTGCCGTTAGCGACAAACAAGAACGTTTTGGGTCACGTGGCTTGAAGCCGTCAAATGAAAAGTCAAACGCACGTGAGCACATTCCTTCGTGCGGTCTGTGGCTCAGTTCTTCCAGCCTGAGTTTTTCCCACGCGCTTCTTCTCGTGATCATTCATCGATCTTTCGTTCTGATTGTTACTTAGTAGTGCAACATGATACAGATAAAAGTTTTTTATGACATTTCTCTTCCCGAAGATCGATGTGAAGTGTAAAGAAAGGATGTCAAAGCAATCGAGACTGGTGTATGATGTATCAAGTATGATGTATCAATATTTCCCAAGCATACCACAAATTGCTATGCTATTGAGTACTTGGTATTAACTAGTGTAAGCGTCTCATCGTAATTAGTAAAGCAAGAGACTTACAACGAGCAGGGCCTGTTTCACCACCTTCATCAGTATCCATGGATTCATATTGCTCTTGTGCACGAGAAGATGAGTCACCTGAAATATTCAAACACAAAAACATGTACAGTATGAGTTTAAATTTTCTGTGCTTTCTTCTACAGGTAAAATTAGGACCAAGGAGTAAAACTGGCTAGCAGTATTAAACAACTCCCCACTGGGTAAATAACTCGTCATACATTGCCACATTTCATTCACTTTACAATTGATACCTTAAAAGTGAAGTGGTATGTAGTATAGCTATTTGGAAAACAGCTCTAAGAAAATACATACGCTAATTCGTTAAAAATTGTGTTTCTATAACTTGATAGAAACACAGAACTAGCACGAGTTGTTGACGTAATGATGGCGTGAGCAAAGAGAATTTACATTTTGATGATCAAAGTAAACAAGTTGTTTCCCTTTTTCTGTCGCAGTGTTTTCTACATGTAAAAGACATAGAAAACATATTCTCCATGTTTCTATTGGGGTACACATGTAGCAACACTCGTGAAAGTTTGGGAGAACTCGAAAGAGCAGTGGAAACACTTGCCCACGGCTCATGTTCCCACAGCATTTCTTGTTCTCCCAAACTCCCACCCATGTTTCTATTTAACAAATTGATTCTATGTTCCTGTGATGATCACAGATGATCACAGATGATGTCAAAATGAGGTAAGAACAAATAAGTGGCACATGAGGTAATAGCCAAGTGTGTCACTGATGTTCTCACCACAATTTGACATCTCCTGTGATCTATTACTGATCAGACGCACCACAACATGGACTCTATTTCAAAATCTTTCAACACGACTCGGAAGCCGGCTTTTGCCCACTTTGGCAAACACGAAAAAAGCCATTTGACATGATCTATTGTCTATACAAAATGAAGCAATCTCATTCGTTACTATGCATAGCAAAGAACTGTGATTAACCCAGGAAAATCACACCACTGTCAAACTTGACTCGAGTGTCACTTCTCGTGGAATGAAAACTTACAGCTAAAGCAGAATTGAGCTGCGAAATCTATAAATCTTAAAGAAAATGCTGGAAAAGTCAAGTCAGTTTTTGTCATCAGAGCACAGGGTGCATACTCTTTGAAGCTTTTACAATTCCATGACTTTCCATGACCTTTTCCATGACCAAAGTTAAGCAGTTGTTCTCAGAGCAGTATCAAAACAGTCATTTATTTAACATATTTTCCAACATTATAATGCATAAAATGTGTGCTTGTGTCTATTTCCACTGAAATTAAAGCCTGTTTCCAACTCGTCTGTTATTTTTTCAATTTCTAAAACATTGTTTTGCCAAGCATAATTATTGTTTTTCCAGGACTTTCCATGACCTTCACTTAAATTCCATGACTTTCCAGGCCTGGAGATTGAAATGACATATTCCATGACTTTCCAGGTTTTCATGACCTGTATGAACCCTGGAGCAGCCCTGTGAGCCAAAAAGTTTGGACGTTACCTTGAATACCGCAGGAGTTGAAAAATACGTCCCAAAAACTTGCGGTTGTGGTCAATCTGGAGACCATTCGATTTGAGTTTTGAATGAAAGGAGCGTTAGTGACAGTGGAAATTTGTGTCCTCTATGGTTGGTGATTCTCAAATCAGTTTGAAATAGTGTCGGAGAAACCTTTTAGCTGCGATACAGTTGGCCGTGAGCTGTAGTGAGCTATACTTTGCTCGCTGCTGTGCCCTGGAACGGACTGGAACATTTGCATCAGAAAGCAAGGTTATGTGCTTATTTTAACTGATTTTAAGAAGTGATGTTTTGATGCGCCATTCCTGACATCAATCAGTGTTTCAAAAGTTATTCTGTTGTTTCTTGTGTTTGTTAAATTTGAGATAAAGCAATGGTTCTCGGCTTACCAAGACCAATTTTGTGTTTGGTTTAGTCTCGCTCGACTGCCGACTGAGACTGCTCAAGTATTTTTTCTGAGTCATTTTCTAAAAAAGAAATGGCTTTATCTTCCTTCTTCCTGCTAGACTATGCTTCTCGTACCTGTTCAATACCTCGACAAGTCATGTAGAATGATATCTAAATTCTCAAAAACTTTCTGCCATTTTAAAACACAGAGGGAAAAACTTTGTAATGATGACGTCAATCGTGCCTCTGTCCTCTAACAGATCATAGAGGCATAAACAAGAGAAATGAGCAAACACGCTCATACAATTTCCATGGCTTGTGTCCTCTAGGCCTCGCTGCCGAGCTGAATCTTTATGTATCCAAAACAGTCTTTTGTCACAACTCATCACAAGTTAAGTAACAAATCAGATAAAATGACTCAGGCAATCAACTACTGTAACAAAGAGGTGTAAAATTAAGCCTGGTGGTTCCCTGATATGTCCCTTTGTCATTTCCGGTCTCTTCAATTCATTTCTACTTGTATAATAATATGGCATATAAATAATCAAAACATTGTAGTCAAATTTTTCCTCAACTGCTCTCACATGTTCCTCGTGGTGAATAAAAGATATTTCTCAAAGTACAATCAAATTTATCGCAAGTTTGTGAGCCTGTAAACACAGACAGTTTCGAAAAGTACGGAAAGCTTACAAAAAAACTCTCAATTTCTGTAAGAATTGAAGTAAATGCGTGTTACATGTTCGAGAAGAAAAGAAGTTTTCAGAAACGAAGTTTATATACAAGGGTGAACTTACTGGCTTTGAATCCTCGTCCTTTACGTTTCGTGACAGCTGACTTCAACTTCTGAATTCCCTCTGTGAAGCAACGCATATCATGGAATATTTAGGGGTAAAATCGCGTATATGAACTGCGGTTTATGAAGCAAAATTCTTACCGTCTCCTTCATCCTCAGAAAAACCACCTTTGTCTTCCACACCAACGTCGAGAACATCCGCCATCTTTCTTTTTCGCGCGTGGTTTTAGTGGCTAATACGCATGCTTCATGTGTGACACCGAAGAATGTTCTGGCATCGCGGGCTCGGTATAAAAGAAGGCTACTGGGGTCCCAGTAGGAGGCGCGGTGGGAGGCGCGGTGGCCTCATGGTTAGTGCGCTCGTCTCCGGATCGGGTGGTCCGGGTTCGAGCCCTGGCCGGGGACAATGTGTTGTGTTCTTGGGCAAGGCACTTTACTCTCACAGTGCCTCTCTCCACCCAGGTGTATAAATGGGTACCGGTGAACTTAATGCTGGGGGTAACCCTGCGATGGACTAGCATCCCATCCAGGGGGGAGTAGAAATACTCCTAGTCGCTTCATGCTACAGAAACCGGGATAAGCTCCGGCCTGATGGGTCACTTGGCTCGCATGCAGACTTACTGGGGTCCCACTGGGGCAGACTGGGGCGAAGTAAAGGGTGTTTAAAAAGTAGTTACAGTGGCATTGTTTTCCTTTTATCAGTCAGTTCTACTTACTACATTTAACCTAATTTACAGTACCTGAAACCCGGGAGCAGATTATGCAAGAATAGGCAGAAGTCTGAGGACGAAGGTACAGGAGGCAGGAGACCAGGGTACAGGAAAAAGATTTTTACCTCCCACCCCACATTTTTGCTAGTAGATATCAAAGCTTTAAACTGTTTAAAACTATGTTCTGTATGACTTTGAAGTCAGGATCCACCATACTAAGTTTCTTTTAATGTGTAAAGTATACACTTTTTACGACCTTTAAGATTTATGACCCAAAAGTAGAGATTCCCCAAAGGTAACGTCAAATAATTGTGGCCGCTAATAAATCCTGAAAGTAGCAACCCCCGGAGAAAGCCAATTCCCAACCACCCCCTCCCACCCCATAAATAGTGAGACCCAGGTTCAACGGTATATTTATATTTATTTTCCTAGCTATCAATAGTCAGGTTAAAGTTACATATGGTAAGGCACTCTACAACAAGGGAAGGTGTAGTTTATGCCACAAAGCATTGTGAAATGTCAATTTGTGCTTCATCTAATAACATTGCGCCACATTAAAGCAAAACCTGTGGAATTTTCATCAAGTAACAGGAACCTAATATAATGGAAACTTTGATTCAAATTAATATCATTTTCAACAACAGAGCATATTAAAAGGAAAGTTTCTTCAAATTTACTGTTACGGCAGACTAACATAGCAGTGCATCATGAAGTACAAACAGTTTATGGTATCTACCAAGCTTTCCTGCTGACCACTGACAACACGGTCTAGACATAAAGAGCTCACTCATGTGGCAGCAATAGATTTAAACTGGAAGAAGAGCCCAGTCATACAAACTTCATATATAATGTTTCTTGCTCCCTGAAAGTAACAAACCCTCAAAAGTCAATCAGTCAATCAAACTTTATTTAAAGAGGGTGACGCTTAATAGTTAAAAAACTAATGAACTTGTGGCCCTCGATAAACATTGTTACAATTTAAATAAAACCTATTTTAATAAGTAACCTAATTAAGAATTTATTTAAAACCTAATTAAAAATCACCATGTACAACAGATTTAGATCTGCAAGTCAAAGGTAAAACATATTGCTCATATCATACAAACTGAAAATAAATTATCTAAAAGAGGAGTAAAAATCTTATCCCTAAGCTGACTTAATGTAATGACCTTCCAAAAGTAACGAGCCCCGAAGGTTGCTAATTCTGAAAGTAACGAGAGTCGCTACTTTTGGAAGTTTACATGTATGGTACATATATGTGGGACAACTTCGATCACACATAAACAAAAATAAACACATGTATTGTAAGTATACACTACAGAGGCTTGCTGTAGATCATCTGTATAGGAGAATCCTTGCTTACAATATTTGCCCAATAGCATAAGCAATTCAGTTACTGATGGAGCTACAAATAAATCAGTTCTGAATATTGAAAGCTCATAGTATGATTAACTCTGCCAATGAATATGAGCCTGATGTATTGAATACCTTTTGTGCCACACAGCTTTAAAAATTCAAAATTTTACAAAGAATGTATGAGCTCATTAGCGCTTTTGCCACCCAGAAATTTTACAGTTTTTGAAAGACAATATCTCCTTGAATATTACACCCAAAGAGCTAAAACTTTCACCATGTATTAAGTTTCACTAGCTCTTTAGCTGCCTGGAGTCAATTCATATTGAACATGTTTCCTTCTGTAGGCAAAGCCATATGCAAATGAGCAACAATGTAAACAATGACATCAGCATGAATCTCCCTATAGCAAGTATACTAGTTACCGCCATGTGGGACAACATCACACATAAACAAAAATATGTACATGAGGCATGCATGCTGGCCTAATAATAACATTTAGCAGACTGTTGCATGTACTGGTTTATAACCCTTGGTAGAGAGAGGTACAGATATGGTGAATCAAAGCAAATATACTGCCTAAGAACAAAACAAAGGGATCACTAACAGACCTTAAATCTGCAACACAACACGCATGCTTCTTATTAGACCACCATACCTAGTATCAAGTAAAATTAATGAATTTAACAACTTTACATGAGAAAACACTTCAGTTATCACTGTCTTGCTCATTATCATTTGAAGTGTAAAGTGACTGATTTCTCCGTTTTAGTTTCATGACCTTCTTCTGAGGTTCTAAAACAGAGTTATCCTGAACTTTCCCCTCAGGCTCCTTACAATCAGATGTTCCGTTGTCTGCTAAAGACTTATCATCTGTGAAATTCACACTGTGATCTATGTCTCCAGAACAAGAATTCATAGGCCTTGGAAGTTCAAGGCGAGGTCGATTTTGATTCGGTTTGTTCTTGCTGTTAGCACCAATGTTTTTATCAGCATCAGAGTTACCAACAGTCACAGCTCCACTTTCATCATCATCATTATCATCAATGTCGATTTCATCTGGGTTTCCATCAAGAACATTATCATCATCACCATCACTCAGATCAATTTCCTCAGGATTGGGGCAAGGAGTAGCAGTCTTCTCTGGACAACAAGGGTTAATAATTCCAAGTGTGGAGCAAAAGGTTTCTGTTTGAGGGTTTATCACAGGAAGAACTTGATTCAGTTTTGTTTTCTTGGGTTCCTCTGGGTTGTATGGAGCTGTAGTAATCTGAAAATTCTCTGGAATCTTTGGTGGATTGCCAAACACTTTGACGACGTCTTCAATTACCTTATCATCAGGTGTAAAGCGTAACATTTGTTCTGAATTTGGAAGTACAGTTAGCCTTGGTGTTAAGTTGTTGAGTGCAGTTGTAAGCTTTGTTACTGCAAGCCATTCAGGATCATAAGTTAGCTCTAGAGGTGCTGTTGCAAGACCTACGTCAATCACTTGTAAAAACTCACGTCTTGGGAGACACTTATCCAGGGCAAGGAACTTTGTGAACTTGACACCATCTTGGCATTCATGTGGTATCAGTGCTGGAAACTTAGCATGCATGTGTGCTGCAAACCAGTACTTTGGCTTGAGCAAAGTCAGGAGCTCTCCTGCGGGAGGACTTCCCAAAGTGTTGTTCTCGATCTCTGGCCTGAGAAATTCTTTAAACTTGTATAATGCTTCAAGGTTTCCATGGCGATAAACCCCTACAGGCCAGTCATGTGACATGAATATATCAATGGGCTGGGAAATGAGTTTCAACATAAAAACGTCAAAGCTTCTAACGTGATATGCACTGCGAACTGTGGATTCATTGTACGGCGGCTTTTCAAAATGCCCCTTGTTGTAATCATGGCCTTTGTAAATACCAGAGAGACCTCCAATTCTAACTCCGCCATAATTGATTACCCCACAATAACCGAGGTAGTAAATATTAGGGGCAACCCAGCCCCCATAGGGAAGTTCCCATAAATGATTTGTGGCTTCATGATTGCCTCCAATGAACACAGTAAGCACAGGCGCCTTCTTTTCACCGGAATAATACTTATAGAATGTTTCCATGTGTCGGTACTTTGGTGGAACAGCCATGCAAGACAGATCAGCTTCATTTCGAACGGCTTGGAAGTCACCACAACACAAGAGCAAGTCAACTTTTATGTTCTCTTTCTTTTCCAAGTGCTCCAGCGTCTCGTAAATCTTGTCCAGTTCACCATGACAGCAGCCTTCAACAGCAATCTTCATGTTGAATGATCTAAATCTCTCTTAATCCTGCTAACTCGACGCTAAAATTTCCAATTAAATGCAAGTGTCTCCCTTATGGGCAGTTAGAGGAAGAACGGGAAACGTTGCTCGCGAAATATCTGAGCCCGCGTTCTGTCTGTACAAGTCTGCGCATACTTCCCAAGTTGTCAAGAAAATTCAAGATGGCGCAGGTTGGTGACGAAATTCTGCAATTTTATGTCATTAGAATGTGTCTTTCCTTCTAACTTCTGCACGAAACTATTGAAAACTGTTCTAACGGTGCTTCTCTACCGTATTATTTTCTTAAAAACAGATGTTACTCGGAAGATACGTCTGTCAAAGCTGTCGTAACTTTGCCCGTGTAGGCCTTCACGATACACGTGCAAATCAATATTTCGTTGGCGCTTCAGTTCTGCCAAGCAGATTACGACAAGGGGAATGCAGCTCACAACAGGTACTGGTATCAGTGCATTACAATTGCACTTAAGCTTTGTCTAGCTAGTGTGAGAGTTCTGATGCAAAGCTGCTGATCTCAATCTCAGTCGGAAGATGGCACTATATGAACTGCTGATACATGTACTCCTGGTTTTGAGCAAGTTATTACTTGTAATTGTACAGAAATATCGGGATTGTAAACCTTTGCACATTAAGTGGGTATTGCAGTATAGATGCCAACCTAAAAAAAATTGAAATCCAGGGGATAACCAATTTTCAGCTCTTTGAATCCCACCCCCGAGATCTGCCAATTGAACTACAAAAAGGCATCAGATATTGCTAAATCCCCCTTCAAAATGCCAAAAATTGGCTGAAATAATAAGTGGGGAAGATGTAATTTAACTGATTTCAGTATCTCGGAGATTTGATGACCCTTACAGGAGACAAGGAGATTTAGTCTCTGTGTGGAAGACTCCCAGATAATGTGAGAGAGTTGGTTTAGATGCTGTAGGTTTTCATCACTTGGCAATTTGTCAATCATGGATTACATTTGATGATGTCTTTCTCATCTACATACATGTGTATTCACCAAGAATTTATCAACTTTCATTATTTACATGTACATTTACAGTATCTTCACACATGATGCTTTTGTTATGTTGGATGCCTGTTACATGGCAACCTAATAAATGGCCTGGCGCATGTTATCTCAGTGTTTAGAGCACCCAATCAGTATCTCGGAGGTCGGCTTTGAATCTTGTCGGGTACTCATGGTTTATCTTTGTCCCATACACATGAAATGACGAACATTTCATCTCTCAGTTGTGTTAAAAATGCATCCAAAACAATTTTGGTGGATCATATCTTGCCCACTTAATGTAACTATTTCTATGCTCTGGTCTCTTTTGCAAGCTCCATTAGCATAGAAAGCGTTACTGTAACTTCATTGTAGCAATTAAAATATATTTTTTAATTTCCATATTATTACAGATAAGGTGGTATGCTTACAGACGGCCAAATGAACAACCTGGATTAATAGGACGGTTTATAGAAAACATAAAGGAAGGCTTTGAGAGGAATAAAGAAATGCAGGTTTGTTAGAAATATTTCTAGAAATAATGAACAGTTACATGTATATGGATCTTCTTCGATAGCATGATTTATACTAGGTGTAAAGTCTAACATAAATTTCATTTTGAGGTCTGCTTTGACGTTTTAGGAAAATATCAAGAAATTTCAAGAAGAAGCAAAAAAATATGAGCAGTCAGAAACATTGTCAACCAGAGTTAAGGTTGTAAACAAGATAAAGGTAAGCTTTGAGAATTATCTGGGATTGTTCTACACATGTTATCAAATTAGTGACTTATATGTACCAGGTAATCACATGCAATACAAAACAGCACAATATTACATGAAGATGTGTAATAGGACAAGGTATATAACATGACATCAGTCCTAGCCATTAGGTATCAGATTCCTTGAGCTTTGTGTCATTGTACAGTCAGTAGTTTTGTGTCTAAAAGAATCTTTGATTGTGTTGACTTCAGCAGTTACACTGTATAATGCTGAAGGGTTGCAAGTTACCAAGTAATCATAAATATATTAAGTCATTTGATAGTACTAGAATCACAGGGCGTACAAAAGTTAGTGGGTTCATGAAGGTTTTTAACAGGAAGCCATATTGATTTTCACAGGCAGGCAAATCTTTTTACACTGATCATGTGTCAGAAAGTTTGTCTGAACTCAAGATGGTCCAACCAGGCAGGGAACAAATTTTCCCAAAAACAGTCAGTTTCCCCAGTGTCTTCTCTTTAATGAACCCCTTGCAAATGTTTTGTATGCATGCTCTTGGGAATCCTTGTTACCCAATACTGTATATGAATTAAAAAGGAATCATTTGTCAGAAACTGACTATGTCATGTTGTTGCTTGTATTAGGATAGTGTATCAGGTGCATCGATGAGGACTTCTGCTGTGGTCAAGAGCTTCTCAGGAGCCTTTTCAACGAAAGTCTCCAAGGTACAGTGTACATGTATACTTTTAGTCACTCATAAAGAAATGATGAAGCAGATTATCTAACTATTGGTATCAATAATAATTACCAATGGTGCTTGTAGGCAGGTGTCAAAAAAAACATGAAACTCCAGAGTACAACACAAAAATAGTTATTTGCATAGGCTTGTCTATTTGTTTTCTATAAGACGATGTTTGTAGTCCTTTTAAGAACTATTCTTATTCTCTAAACCACAATTTTAATACTGGGAACAGTGGAGCCACTGTTGTATTTCTGAAAGTGAATCTTAAAGTTGCTTGGAAAGGTTTTTTTTAGTTTTTTTTTTTTAGGTGCTTTAATTTTTAATTCTTAACTTTGAAAACTACAGTAGGCAGATTAGCAGTAGGGTATTATTTAGGGAGTCTCTAGGTTAGTTTTTTTTGTATAGTGTAGTTAACGCAGTTTGCATTAGTTATCAGTATTAGCATTTTGTTAATGGAGTTGTTTTTGCTTTTTTATCTTACTTTAGTTTATATTTTAAATTTTTCTTTTAAACAGGACCCCTTTGATAACAGTAGTCATGTACTGAAGGGTTATCCTGTATGAATATTTGCTATTATTATTTATTATTATTATACTTCCCACAAGTTGTTTCATTTAATTACGTTTACAAAAAAGTGTCCAGAACACTGGAAATTTTTTTTATGATTGTGATAATGTTTGAGTGATAAATGGTCTCAGTATAATTGGAGCTGAGCCGGTTTGATAGTTGTTATAATTTGCATAACATTAATGATCATAAAATCTTATGTGATTTGCACACAGCACATGTGCATGTAATTTTGAGTGATTTTCATGGCCAATTTGGTTGAAACAAGGCAGCGTGGCTAAGTGGTCAGCACGTCAGACTTGTAATCCAGCGGTTCCGGGTTCAACTCTCGTTCTAGCCACTACTAGGATTTGTTTTACTGTCAGTAGCTCCGAGTTCAAATCCTCAGCCACGCTTGTAAATAACCAACTGGTTTGCCTCCGCCCAGTTAGGATTCTTAACATTGTTAAGAATTTGAAGTATTTGTTTCAGCCTTTGTGCTATAAACACTGCTGGGGGTAAATAAAGGTTATTTATATTTACATTAATTTTATTAACCAGTACATTCAAGATTTCACACCATTTTTTTTTTTCTTCTTGGTCAAATTATATTTTATACCATATCATGTGGTGTAATGAGTGTGTGTTTGGTGCAAAATGCTTTAAACCAGATTGAATTTTTACCCCGAGAAGACAGTCACTTGACCACAGTCTGTACATAGAAAATGTCTGAACTGTAGGAAGATTATTTCTTTAGTTTATCTTGTTTTTATCTTGTTTTCCTCAGGCATATGAAGATGCAACTACAAGTGAAGCCTTTAAAAAGGGCAAAGAGGTCACTGAAGAGGTATATTCCACTCAAAACATCAGATCTATTTTGGGCTCAGTTTTGCGACCATTTATGGTGGCCTACTTTAAATAACTGGATATGCATTCATTCAATTTGAAAATAATTATTATTTTATTATTACTAACAGTGGAAACATGTAGATAATAAGATTGCTATTAATTTCCATAACTTTTTTATGGAAAACTGGACTTAAAAGGTTTTCTTTTTTTTTCTTGCAGTTTGCCAAATCTGCCAAGGAAGCTGCATCTAAGGTTCAAGAACAGGGTGAAATTATTGGAAAAACAGAAACATTTAAGGCTGTGTCTGCAGTGAGTATTCTCTGTGTTTACTTGCTGTAGTTGAGCCAAGTGTTCAAGATCAGAGATACAAAACATGTATGTACGTGTAGAATGGCTCTTCAAATGTGGAGAACTCGTCAGAAATCACCTTATTTTGAAATGCTGTGATTTTCTCAAAGATAAACACATGTACATTTGCTACTGGATCTCAGAAAGTTTAAATTGTTGTCGCAAACAGTCTCAAATTCATGTTTTTCCATGGTGATGGTATGTGGCCATTCTGCACTTCTTAGTAAACATTTACCAGTATTTGTTGTTACTTATTAGATCTTAAGAGCATGCACCATAATCCTAATTAATAAATGTGTTTGACTTGTACGTGGATTTGTAACGCATTAAGATAATAGTTCTCTGGATGTCATATATCAGTGTTTCATCAAGATATCCAAACACCGAGAAGAGAGTTTAAAATACGATGTGCAGCAGAGTATTTTTGACAAAATTCGAGGTGTTTGGATAGCTGACGAAACACTTTCTTAAGTGTTTGATATGTGTTCTTAATTGAAACAAAAGCTAAGGAGTAGATGGAGAAGTAAATCATCAAAAGCTATGTTAATTAAGACCGGGTATCCAAACCTCCTTCACTGTTCACTTGATGAATTATTACTGAGTTTGAGAAGTACACAAATGTAGTAATTAGCCTAACCTGTTTGTACTATTACATGTAATTTCAGGGCTTAAAAACTGTCAAGCAAGAGGTTCTTGATGAAGAATTGCAAAAATCAAGACCCTACAGAACTCCAGGTTAGTGACAAAATCAATGTACTGAATAGGTCTGGAAAGAACAGTTTCGTAGAGTACAGCTGTACCTTGCCAAGACATTAAATTAGATGGTGATTTCTAGTAGTGACTGGCTACTCTTGGCAGTCCTGGTTCAAACCAATATCAATGGTTTTCATTCAATTCCTTAGTTTATCAAAACACTGGTAAGGATCTAGGGGAGGCTCAGTCGAATTCCCTAAATGAAAAAATGAGACATTTTGACTTGCTGACTTGGCCTCAGAATGATGGAAATCTATTTTTGAGGACCTCAATTTTAGACATTTTTCCAGGGAAAAAAATACCCCCAGACTCCCTAAAGGAGACCCCTAAAGGAGACCACCTTCAGTAGTCTGTATCTTGAAACTCCTACTCTAAAATCCTCTATCCACCCCAGATTAAATAGGTATATTTTCCATCATCTGAGAGTCTGAGACAAAGGAAGAAAAGGGCTATGAAACTTTCAAACCCAAAAAATATTTCAAACTGCAACATGTTTCATTCAAGACTGTGTTATTGATAAGAATACACCTCATTGCACAGACAGATAGAATTGCAGTTCCAACCCAGCATGCCTTAATGTATGGTGTGTTGGAAGGATTGTGCTGATGTTGTCATGCTCTGTTTATAGACAATGTTAATTTTTTGTCGTTGATTTAGAAAAGCTTCGGAGGAGAACTGGAGTAGAAGGAGAAATGTCCAAAAAAGAGAGAAGAATTGAAGCAAACGAGTAGGTTTTTTTAACAAATTATCTTTGTTCTTACTAGTCAATTTTGTCTCTGTTTTTCACGTTTCTTTGTAAGTCAAAAAGTTGCAAACATGTTACAAAAATGTATATTTGGATTGGTTAATAGTAGAAAAATCTTACCTAGTAGCTTGCCAATGCAAGTTTTGATGGAGCTTAGGATTCTTGAGTTTACCACAGTGTGTTGGTCAAGTTAATAAAGGAAAAAAGCATGAATCTTTCAGCTCCTTTAGAAGCTATAAGTCTCCAAGGCTGATCAACCTCAATTTTCTCCTCATGTTTTCAAAATACGTAATCATGAAGAAAAGTTATGGGAATTAGAGCAGGGATCACCTGAAAGGAATTGTTTTGATTCAAAACTACAGTAATTGTCCCAGTTATTTCTATTTGAAATGTATGGAATCTAGCTATTTTCATGTTCACCATTGCAGGAGAGGCAGTGGCCTCATGGTTAGAACACTTACATGTAACTCCAGATCAAGCAGTTTGAGTCCAGGCGGGGGACATGGTGTTATGTTCTTGGGCAAGACACTTTACTCTCACAGTGCCTTTCTCCACCCAGGTGTCTAAGTGGCAAATATTTAATGTTGGGGGTAACCCTGCAATAGACTAACATCTCATCCAGGGGAGGTAGAAATACACCTAGTTGCTTCATGTTACAGAAACCGGGATAAGCTCCGGCCTGCTTGGCCACTTGGCTCATATGCAGACTTTATCTTAACCATTGTATGTTAAATGTAATTATAGTACCTTTTTCATTTCTTTCTGATTGTTAGGGATGCTACAGGGGTTGTACTGCATAAGGACTCCAAATGGTACCAACAGTGGAAGGAATTCAAAGATAATAACCCTGTTGTCACTGGTAAAAAGCCCTTACAAGTTGATGTGGAGAAATCTTGTTTGTAAAATGGTGTTTGTAAATCTCTGCTAGTGGAATGATCGTGATTCCTACACAATACTGGGAAACAAAATTCAATTTTCTGTATATTTTTGTTTTGTTATCAGGTCTTTTTAATCTAAAAACAAAATATGATGAAAGCGACAACGTCATGGTCAGAGCATCAAGAGTAGTGACGGATAAGCTACAAGATATTTTTAGTAAGTTTGTCCTCCTGTAACCATTTATTGTAATTTTGGTAAGTGAACTGTCGTGAAACATGCTGGAAATTTGAACTTGAACCCATCAGGTCAGTGCTTATCTCTGGTTTCTGTAGCATGACACAACTAGGGGTATTTCTTCTCCCCTGGGATGGGATGCTAGTCCATAGGAGAGTGACCCCCTAGCATTAAATTCACCAGTACTACACGTTTATAGATCCTTTTCACTGTCACGCAATAAAAAAATAAATCGAAAACCATCCAGTGGAAAAAGCTATGAACTTACGATGTTATAGAAGATAACTAAATAAGACACTTCTCCAAGTTTTAGACCTGTGCGTTTCCCCAAACTTCAGATATTCGTCAAAATGTTTCGCAGATATTTGCAGAGCCCAGTATGAAAACGCCATGTTGGTGTACC